TTTTTTTTTTTTTTTTTTTTTTTTTTTTGAGAAATAGAGTATCATTCTGTCACTCAGGCTGGAATGCAGTGGTGGGCTCATAGCTCACTGTAACCTTGAACTCCTGGGCTTAAACTATCTTCCCACCTCAGCCTCTTGAGTAGTTAAGACTACAGGTGGGTGACCACCCCCAGCTAATTTTTAAATTTTTTTGTAAAGACAGGGTCTCACTATATTGCCCAGGCTGGGAGACCTGTCAAAAAGTTTGAAAACCCCTACTCTAGAATAGAAACTTAGAAAGTAGAATTACTAGGATGCAGGTAAGGTGCATTCAACTTCCTAGAAGTTTCTAAATTGTTCTCCAATTTGGCTGTTCTAACTTTACCCTCTTGCCAGCCACATGGCAATGTGCCCACTGAATGATGTCCTCACCAACACTGGGTACTGTCAGACTTTTTTAACATGCAATTTCTGTATTCCCCCTCTATCAGAGAGCATATCATGGGCTGTCTTAGGTTGGAACTCTCTGCTTCCTCATCGGCCTCCCCCAGCAGACTGAGATACCAGGTGGAGGAGACTGAGCACTTCGCTTTGTGTCTCCAGGCCAGGCCAGGCCAAGCACATGGCAAGTGCGTAATAAATCTGTGCAGAATTGAATTGTCAAAGAAAGGAGGGTGTGGAAAATGTATAAATTACACCAGGAGATAAGTATACAGGGAGACCGTGGGAGCCCCAGGTCGTGGTCAGGTATCTGGCCCCTGGGTTGGAGGGTGGGGAGCTCCCAGGGCTGCTCCAGGAGTTGGGAAGGAGGGTCGACAAGCCCTGCCTCTCCTGAGTGGCTTGAGCGGGACACTGTTAAGCTGGAGCAAGTTCAGGGTCAGGAAGGAGGTCACCACCATCACCCTGACAACGGTCTGCCTGGCCCAGGCCCCGACCTCGATGGCTGGGTGTCTCCCAGCACCCACCAGCCCCACCTTCTAAGGAAGCCTCTCCCAGAGGGAAAACAGAGGGGATGGGAAGAAATCCCAAACTCAGGATTCCCAGGAAGCCAGTGATTGCCGGGCCTCTAGGGACGAACTGAGAGGCAGGGGCTAGGTGGGGGCATTTTTTCACCATATCTCTTTTTTAAACGTTTGCATTTCAGACTATGTGGATGTATAGCCTATAACCAAAAATAAATAAAAATAAGGATGTTCAAAGCATCACCCCCAAGCTCCAAGTGCCAGCAGGACGACCTCCAGGAAAACTACCCGCAGCACCCCCCATCCTGAGGGGCAAGGGAGGAAAGGGGGCGGCACTCAGACCTTCCCCCTGGCTGGGGAGGGGGGAGGCTGCCAGCTCTGAGCCCTAGGCTTCCTCCACCAGTGCTCCCTCTTTCCCCACCGCCACAACCGCCTTCTGGAGACCTGCTCCCGGCTCTGCTGTGTGACTGCACAAGACACAGACCTCTCTGGGTCTCGGGGTCCTACTTGTAAACAGGGTTCACATCACCTTCCCGGATTTCGCCATTGGCTCTGGCTGTTCCTTAAGCTCTCACTGGCCCTCCCTGCCAGTGGCTGGGAGGGGCAGGAACACCCGCCCAGGCTCTCAGTGCACAGGGGCAGTCTCGTGGTTTGGGGCAGATAACCGGGCATTCTCAAGGGCTTCCTCTGCCCCTGGCTCCTGGTAGGGCAGCAGGGCCCAGAGGGGTGGGGCAAAGGCGGGCCAGAAGGGCTGACTCAGCCAACGCAGCAGCCACCCAGCTGGGTCA